TTTTAGCCCGATTTGCCGCTCGGCGAGCACGGCGACCGTCAGGCTGTGATCGGTTGGTTGTCACTAATGTAGCCAGGTCGATTGCTATGTAGGAATATATCATCCCCGTCCTTATCCTACCTACAAAGTTCTGATTGGTCTAATGTTTCTCCAGCTGGTGAAAACAAGCAATGAGCAATGATTCAGAGGTCTTAAACAGGCTAGCTTTTACATGTGTTGATCCAAAAATGTAATTGTTGGGTGGGTTTAAGTGCACATATTCAAATCAGTTTATTTAATTTAGTTTTTTATGATACAGGGGTTTTGAAATATGTAGCAGATGAAGTGCTCAAAGTTGGGTATCATCAATTCTATTGCATTTTCTTTTTCTAGCAATAAGAAGGAATGTCTAACAAGATGATCTGTCTGTAAAGAACTATAAAATAGTACAATGTAGCGACCGTCAGGCTGTACACTCCTCCACTTAGCAAGTCAGCAGAGTGCACGTTATTAATGATGACATGCATACATTTCTCTGAATGGATGATGGTTTGTCAAGGTCAGAGTAAGTCAAGTGGCCACTGGAGCTGAGCTGAATAGATCACTCATAGAAAACTCGTGACCCAAGTTTATGTTTCACCTGGACCTTTTTGATGCGTCTCTCTCCTGAAACCAGGTTTCATGTCTGGTTTATTTGCTGAACTGAAAATGTTACCGCTTCTCTCTTTGACTCACATGTGGAACTGATGATCAGGAAGCTTAATTGTGTGTGTTCTCAAAAGGATCCCACGTATAAACAACACAGAGGCCAAAACAACAAAATACTGTAATTCTACCACTATGCCCTGCCCACACACACACACACAATATGTTTTCATTTTTTGCCTATCACATCTAGTGTGATTTCCAAGATAATACATGATGAAGCAAATAACCATATGTGAAGATTTTAAGATATTATGAATAGCAGCTGTTCTGGAGCTTTCGACCTTATCACATGATCTTCATCAGTAAATGGAGTTTGTCTTTTTATCAAGGTATAGGAAATGTTCAAACTTTACATTTTCCTCCAAGCACTTTAAGGACTTCTTGTCATGTTGGCTTAAGATCTGTGGCAGCTGATGCAGGTCATATGAAAACTCCAGAACAGCCACTGAATAGCCCTGTGTTGAGTTTTTCTTCACTATATGCCAGTCAATTTTCACAAATGTTTTATTAGCATTTTTTTGGGTTATTTTACTAGATATACACTGTATAAAAACCTGTTATTTTCAACAAATTTGACATTTTAACTAAGTATCTGCTTATTAAGGCCTTTAGAACATACATGTTTGTGTTATGCTTATTTACGTTGGGTGAATCTTGAGGGATCGTTACAACCTGCATGGCAAGGGTCACACGACTGATGTGGGTAGCCAAGCTAGTATTACCAATAACAAGCATGTTTACTGACCACTATTATTGACTTTTAATACAATTAAGACCAAAGTGGCTGTGAGTTTGACAATGATTTATGAGGCTTTATTATAAGAATGTTACAAAAGACTATTTTAGTAAGAACCGACAATTACTTTCGTCATTGAGCTGTGCCCTCGTCATTATCTGATATTTCTTCAGGCAGACATTCTGAACAGGGTTGTTGGAACTCTTTGTTTTAAGGGACAGACACAAACATTAAAGTTTGAGGCAAATTATATAATAATAAAACTGTGACACAAACATTGGAAAGTAATACAATTTTTAAAATCTGAATAACAAAATATGTTTGCATGAACATTCAGTTCAATGTCATATTTTGGAGGGAAGATGCTGGCTCCTGTGTTGAGCGCTTCTTCACTGATTCACTGACATTTTATATTATGTTAGACAAACTAGTAAGGCTACTGAAAAGTGGTATGATGACGATGATCATAACTGTCACGTCCTTTGCCCCAGTGGTCCCTCAAGGTTCTACTTCTGTAAAATACAATCTACTTTGGAAACAGATAATCCAAAAACAAAAATTTTACGTATGTTCATGTGGATTATAATGCTGAATATGAAACTAAGGAAGAAGTGAGAAACCATTAACAGATGAGTCATACATATTTATGAGGTGTCATTTATTTGAGGTGTCCTGGTATAAGAAAATAATGAACAATGTAGATTGTTGCTGTTTTTACAATTATAATGAACACGTTTCTTTTTTTTTTCACTGTATCATAAAAAACATAAAACATACAAGCCATGATTTAGACAATGTGTTTGTTTTACAAATGGTGCATCTGTACTCCTGCTGACGTCTAGTTTGGTATATAGAAATGTAGCACATAGGTACAATTGCCTTAACAGTACTTGTACAGTTGATGTGTAGATGTGTTGAAAGCGTCCTTTGTTCGTGTGCAGTGTAGCTCCTCCCTGTCAGCATTTCTCTGAGTCAGGTGATGGTCAGCAGAGAAAAACGCTGCTCCGGCACAATGCAGCACCACAACCGAGCCACACGCTTCCCATCATACGGCCGCTGCAGGCAAACCAAGCTCGAGCTGAGTCACGACTACTGTGTTGTGACTCGGGTGAAGTGGGCCACTGTATTTCCCATTCCACTGCTTAGTTTGGCATCTGACTGTCAGAGCACGACAGCTCAGGCATGACTCAGGAATTATGGCTGTGCTGAGTCGCTGTGATAACAACTTTGTTCCTGTTGGTCAAAAAAGAAATTCTCTTTGCATTGCAAACGTTCATATCTCTCTCTCCATTTTTAAATAACGTTATAGTGAAATGCATTGATACTTTGAGTTTGCAGTGCAGGACATCTAATAAACAACTTAGTAACTTAGTAATTTACTTTAAGTATATAAAATATGAATATAGTTTGCCATAAATCTATACTGGGTCGATACAAGGTAAAATTTGAAGTCAGGTTTTTATATGCTGGATATACCTCTATTTGCACAGTCCTTTAAGTGCCATAAAGCCGAGCTGTAGCTTCAGTCTGGACACATACAGTACAGAGCGATGGATTCTCTACAGTCTGGCCTTTGTGCAGTGGGACACTCTTGCTTTGAGCTGGTGAAGCGGGGAGATACATGTTCACACTGGGCTTTTGACTGACTTGTTGCTCAGCAGGGACTCTTTGATGCCTGGGCTGTATTTGAATAGCATCAGCACATGGATTTGCATCCAATTTGTGTGCTGACATCATTAGAATCTTCTTATCAACTTGTTTCATGCTGAGTTAGACATTTGTCAGGACATGGACATATTTGTTTTTGTTCTCACCAAATATGGAAGCTTAATGGAAGAGATATAACGTCACTAAAGCAGACATGTTTCTTGTGTGGCTTGACAGTGTATACATATTAGAAGAATAAAATATTTTAATTTAAATAATATTAAAATATTTTTTGTTTTTCTTTAATTTTGTTGTACAGCTTTATGTTCTATAATGATAAATAAATAAATTTACCTTCAGGTGAATGGGTGGCTCTGAGAGAACTTTGTGTTCGGTAGTGGAAGAACTACTCCGAGCCTGGAAGTAAAATTGCAGTGCCACAATTTGAAAAAATCTTGAAAAAATTGTAGGTCCTTTATACGCTGTTGGGTAACTAAATCTCTAATGATGAATCCTATATTACAAGCTGATCATTTTTTGTGTGTAAAATTTTTATCTGCAAAGTAGTCTAACTGTCAGATGGTTGTACAGTAAAAAGCACAATATTTGTGTAAAAGTACAAGTTGAAATAAATATATCTAGTTAGATCCTTTTACTTTTTTATTAAAATAAACTCCCATTACATCCTTTGAGCAATCCAAATATGATGGAAATTTGATCTAGCAGCAGTTTAAAGTAATTTTAGGAAGGTTACTTGAACTGCAAATCCTTGTGTTTCACCAAACCATCCTTTGAAAGTTGATGGATTTATGGTTTAGGTGAAACACAGAGGAAATTACACTGATCTCTCACCGTCACAGCCGTTTTTGTGCTTGTAAACTTGTGTTGCGTGGGGTGTGTGGACACGCATGTGTATGCAGACATGTTGGATCCCATTGAGCGCTCGGGGAGCCGTGGATGTGGGTTTTAAGAGCCTCAGTACAGCCAAGCTGTTTGTTTATGGGTCTCCAGGCTTTTGTGGTTGTCATAGCAACCTGCCCAGTGTTCGGTGCTCTGCGGCATTTTCACAGACGAGCCACTCTTTGTTAAATGAACTCGACTGAGGAAAGAGCTACTACCACTCTGACTTTTCAGTAAAACACACACACACACACACACACACACACACACACACACACACACACACACACACACACACACATGAATATGCATCAGGGCTGCTTTGGGCCACAAGAGAGTAAATACCAGTGGACTGGTCACAATGGCTGCTATTCTTTGTCAATCTGCACTTTTTGGCTGGCTCACTGCTCCGTCAGCACACGATTGGACTGTGTGTATGCATGCATCTGTGCAAGTGAACATGTTGAAGTGTCTTTACACACATCCACAGTATGTGTTGGCATGCCTGCATTTGTGCACAAACTGTATGCAGAGCAAGACAGGCTGTATGTGTGTGTCTGTGTTAGCATATTGTTTTTGCACTTGCGTTTACACTCTGGGGTGCATTTGTTTGCGCGCACTCGTCCTCGTGTGCACGTCCGTGCTGAAGCAGCAGCCAAGGCAATAGATAAGTGTAATGGGATGAGTGTGCTGAGTCGGCAGTTTGCAGTAACGGCCTGTTTGAGTGCCTGGTTGAATGGATGCTGCACCTGAGAGACTGTCACACTCCATCATGGCTGCAAGCTGGAGGAAAGAACGCTTCCTCTTCTCTGGTGGGCCAGGAGAGACACTGCTATGGGGAAGTGTGTGTGTGTGTGTGTGTGTGTGTGTCTCTCTTTCTCACACTCACACACACACACACACACACACACACACACATACACACACACACACACACACACACACACACACACTGTGTGGTCTGGTCTGAATTGAGATTAGAACAACAAACAACGCAAGAAAATCATGGGAAGGAAAGAGAGACAATCTAAACAGCTTCATCAATCCACCCATTTTTTATTGCTGCACCATTATAATGAATCGAATAGAAAATTCTACATCTTTTGTCTATCCTTTTATGCACGTTTCAGTCTATATCAGTATAACATATTTGGTGTCTTTGGAAATAGAATTCAAAATAAAGTTCTGTGGGTTTGAAGTCCATGAGATTGTAAATTACAGGACCATCAGAAAGTTCTTTGAGGTTGGAGTTGAAGTTGTTGAAGTAGTTCAAGAAGCATCTCACGACACCGTATAGAGGATAAGGCCATGAACACCACCTGTAAACAGCAGGTGCACAGCACAGCACCTCAACTCAACAAACTCGACCAGCTGCAGTGAGAAAGTAGTATTCCTCACCCGGTCCAGCACGCAGGCACGCAGGCACGCACGCACGCACGCGCCACATCTGCCTGGCAGCCTCAGCTGAGCCTCCTTTACTGTTGTTGGAGCCAGAGGAGTGTGTGTTTGTGTGGGTAGTCAGGCTGTATCCTCCAGTGAGCTTTAGAGGAAGGAGACAGAGGGGGATGAATGATGACCTTTGACCCATTCAGCGCACTCCCCTTGTTAGTTGGCAGATCCCCAGACTTATGTCCTTCCTGTGTTAGAGAGAGAGGGAGAGCATCTTCTGGGCTCTAACTGAGAGAGAGAGAGAGAGAGAGAGAGAGAGAGAGAGAGAGAGCGAGAGAGGCAGAAATGTCCCCTTCATCTCTCCAGCAGGTTGAACCGGCAGAAAGGTCATATTGTTTCTGTCCGTGACTCACTCTGAGCAGGATGGATGGAGCAGTGGTTCTTTTTATGCAGCAGTGTCGTGCTATTCGTGCTCGAGGTGTAAATGGGGAGCCTCTGTGGATGTCAGTCAATATCTTTCTGTTTGTTTGTGTATTTGCCTGTCGGAAGTTTTCAATGACTGGTGGCATCAAAGGCCTCCTAAAATACCAGTGATATAAATGTAATAGTATTCCTGTTTATAACAACTTGGGTGATATTTTTGGTAGTTTGGGCTATAATATTGAACAGGGCAAGAAACACGAGTGGCCAAACAGAAAGGTTGTAAACAAGCCAAATGTTCAGCCAGATTAGTTAAACCAATTTATTTTGATGTGAAAATGAGAGCAGACGTCTTTTGAGAAATGTTGCCACATTCCAAGATCTCAGGAGTTCATGTGGTGGGTACAATCTTATTCTTACTGATTGGTATGATGATAACGATGATGCATGATACTACACGATACTACAAAATTAAGACTCAAATTGTAAAAAAAAAAAACTGTCTTTATAAAGTGTTCATTGTCACTCCTCAATGTTACTTCTGTCTGCTGCAAGCCAACGTAGTGATTCGTATGAGCCTCTATCCAGTTTTTTCTGGGAAAATGCAGCAGTTTCTGTTCAAAAAGCTAAATCGTGCACACCTTTAAATGGAAAAAATTATCCACTTTTGAGCCCTTTTAATGTGATGGTATATTATGATTTAAATTCAGTCAAGTCTAAGTTCTCGGACATAATGACCTAGTGACTACTTTCAATCTCTGCTAACCAGATAACCTTGTTAATTCAAGTGGCATATTTCTACAACCGAGTCCTGCCTCATGAGTGCAATTCTTGCCTCTTTTGTGGAGCACTGTATTGTCCAGCAGAACCGGGTTTTATAAAATTGGATGGTTCAAAAGTCAGCGCTATCGTGACCTGTCAGTCAGTGGCTTAAATTCACATGCCAGAGTTCACAGAAATTCAGCTCTATGCCGAAGCTAAGCATGGAATTTCTTTCCCCTATATCCTGTCTCTTTCATTTCAGGTTTCCTCTCTTTATCCATACATGCACATGTCTCAGTCTGTCCTCCTCTCTGTCTCTGGACCTATACAGTAGTTGTTCTGCTCTCTACCATCATTTTCCTCAGACTTTGCATCATGTCTCTCTGCTCTCTTGCCTCCCACTCAACTGCTGAGATGGAATTTGTGTTTCAGTCTCTCTGATTGCCAGATGCACCGGGCCAAAGCACAGCAGTCTGCAGAGCCTCCAGACAGCAGCTTGGCCCGTCCTGCATGCTGTGCCTCCAAACTGAAGGCAGCAGTAACCTGAATCTTCTTCTGTTCACTGCCAGAGTTTCTTTGTCAATTCTGTTTCACCTCTCAATTCTGTATTTTTCAGATGACTGTTCATTTTACTGTCATCCATAAATCTGATATGTATACCAACTGACGGCACTGTCAAAAATAATCCTACAGAGGAGCATCAGTTTCAAACACCTGTGCTTTCCTAACTTTTATTTATTCATTTTTTTATTTATAAGTTTGTTTGGTTTTTAAAAAAAACTTTTTCTAAACTCAGTCTGCAGCAGGTGTTGAAGTTGCAACAGCTGTCATTAGTGACCTTGAATTGGAAAAGGGCAGTTCAGAATGGCTTGTTTGAATGATGACATTTCATCACACTTTTGATGGTGCTGTGAGAAGTACCAGCGCTGTGCTACATTAGAACTAAAGTAACATCTCTAACATCAAAATCCACACAAGTCCCAGTCAAACCAGAAAGTGGCACAGCAAAGTTCGTACGCTCATCCTCATGAAATAGGCGAGTGCTAAAGGCTTGGTATATAATGACTGTAGCTAGGATAGTTTATCTAACTAACTGCTCTTCTTCTCTGAAGATTAATGTCATCAAAGCACATTTAAGCTACTGAAATGTATCCTTTTTTTTCATCTAACTCTATATCCAGCAAAGGGGGGGTTAATAAAAGTTGATGGTCCAGCACGGCTAATAAGCTGCGATAGCGGGCCTAGTTTTTTTTCTCCATTCTCTTAAAGGTCAGCACTGTCTTCCGTGCAAAGTGTAATTTGACTGTGATTTTACTTTGTGTCATGAGTGAATCCCCTGATCAAACTGATTCTACTGTATTTTGCTGAGAAAGATTTATTGTTGCTGGTGAGGTTTTTCTTGTTTTCTATATGACTTGACATGTTTTAAACAACATAGGACATGACTAGAATGCAGCAATTCAAATCTCCAAAACAGTCTGGAAAGTCTTAGTAGCAGAAACAAATGAGAAAAGCTTTTCCCCTTCTATGTCATTTACCATTGATACTCTCTTGACCAGGCCATGCATCAGGCATAGCCCTCCCTTCCTCCACAGCTGTCCCTCCAGGATGCCATTTTAAATTAGAACATGCTCCCAGTGAAGTCGTCTGGTTAAACGCGATGCCCTAATCCATCACACATCAGGAAATCATCTGGGAGTCTGAGAGGGAGGAAGGTGCTGTAGCTGTTAGCAGCTCTATTTTCCTGGCACAAGAAACTCTTTCCACCAGCACTTTCTGGCCCCCACGAGCCTCAATGAGACGAAGGCAGCAGAAATAGACTTAACAGGAGAGAAACGACACTCTTACCTCCTTGGGATTCACAGAGGCCCATTTCCCCGCAACTCATCCAGACAGTATTTATTCTCGTTACTGCTCGAGCCGTGGGTGGCTCCTTTCTCCTGCTTTTTGAACATCCTGCAAAGATATTTTTCTAGACGTTTTTCTTGCAATTTATCTGCCCGTTTCTGGGGTTTCATCTGGACATGAGAGGCCCTCTGGTACCCTGAACTGGAGAGGCTCAGGCTTGAGAAACTGGCCGCGGTGTTGAAAACCGCCTTCCTGTGTCAGACTCTCTGCCAGCAATATCTGCCTTTCCTCTCTCCCCTAGACTGGTCTGCCTGCCCGTGTGTTCGGATATGGCTGGAGCTCACTCTCATGAGCTGGCTTGTTTCAGTAAAAGGATTGTACTAATATGGAACTGGCAGAGAAGCAGGAAATATTTTCCTAACTGAGGTTGATTAATGGAGTGAGATGGAGGGGAGAGTAGATGAGGGGGGAGGCTGGGAGTTGAGTGAGAGGTGGGGAAAGGAACAGGAGCGATGAGAGAAAAAAAGAAAACTGTATGTGATAGGTTTAAGTCTACCAGTACAGGGCGTTAGAGAAAGGTAAAGCTCTTTTGAATTGTTATAAGACGGTTTATGTAATTATTTGTGCTAACAACTAATGGTTGTTTACTGGATTAGTTCATCAACAGAAAATTAAATAAAGCAAATCCAACTCAAGGTTCACTTCCTAGCTTTTCCTGGAGTTTTCAACCATGTCATGTGGTCACATGTCATGATGATAGGTTTATTTTTATCTGTATGGGAACCACAGGAATGCGATTCTTTTACCAAGGCACTCTCCATTTATAACAAAAAAAAATCTCAAATGAGAAATATTTAATTCAGTAAAAGATAAAAGTAAATAAACAATGTCCATAGCACTTATAGTAGTTATTGTTTGTTTTGCCTTACAAGTTAAGTTTTGAAAATCAGTTTTGACATTAGAAATGGTAATTTATCAAAACAATACCAACCCAAGGTGTGTGTACTAGCTTTTTCAAGAAATTTCAGCCCTATCACACTGTCTTTATACTGTAGGTCTTCATCATGAAAGTTCAAGAACAAACTTTTATAGCTTATAAAAGCCAATCAAGACAAAAATCCATTTATCTTGGTTTAGCATAAAAACTGGAAACTGGGAAACATCTAGTAAATATGTTATCTGGTTTGTTTAATCCATCCCAAAAAAACTTAGTGTAAAAATGTTTTGATTTTATGGGAGTTAGATGATAAACTAAGACCAGCTGCTGGCTCTAACTTCATATTTAGCATACAGACATGGGAGTGGTATCAGTCTTGTGACTCTCATGTAACTCTGCAACTCTGCAAGAAAAAGGATGTGTATACAATTTTTTCCTTTAACTATAATGATAACTGACTAATTGTTTAAATGACAAACAAAAACCAGGGTCAGCTTCTCAAATGTTAAGATTTTTCTTTGGCAAAATCTGTGGTTTTGTACTCGTGGTCAAACAAAGCAAGCAACTTGAAGACTTCACTGTTGGGGAAAACTGTGATGGGCATTTTTCATTAATTTCTGATTTTTTTTATAAATATACAATGAGACACCTGAGTAGAGTATCCTTGTTGACTGGCATCAGGTAGATTGTTTGCTGAGCTTTGTGTTCAGTGGTTGCCGTGTGAAAAATGTTGCCATAATGACGCTGACTGGCAACTTTCACTGAAATTGATGCAGAGCAGATTCCTCCCCGCTCTTGACCCCTGATGTTTTTACAGTCCGCCTCAGTTCTGGGAGGCTGAGATTAGAGCGAGGAGGCAGACAAGAGAAGGGAAGGGGAGGATAGGGGTTTGCGGTGGCCCTCAAAATTTACAACCCTCCAGTTCCTCTTGCAGACGAAGTCAGTCGTGCTTGCACTTTGCTCAGATACATGACATGTTCTGAAGCTGAAACAGACTGTCTTCAAGTCACAGTAATGAGGGTGATTTTCACTAGCACATTGTTGATGAGCAGGAACTGGTCTCCGGGACTCTGGAGCAGATATACTAACAGCTTACAAAGATTCACAGCACATTCGGTACTGACAGAAATTATCCACGGACAACACGATCACACATGGAGTGCACTGGGATCATATAACACACACTATACACCGCAAAGTACTGTATTTATCCCTCTGCATTTATACACAAACAGCCTGTATGCCGCTCTAATGCTTAATGCTATGATACCTCTCAAAACACTTATTGTACACACTGTTAAACAGTCGTTTATTGTTAGTGTTTTGTTGCCAGTTTGTGTTATTCTTGTGGGTAACTGGTAAGACATATTTACGCTGGTGTTGGATTGAGACTTACACCATACAACGCACTTACAAATGGTTTTCATTTCTTCATAGTTAATCCAAACTGATAAATGTTTTGTGGCAGTCCCTTACATTCAGAGCACCAACAGCAGCCTCAGTAAACAACAAAGCAATGCAGTTTTGAGACAACTGGAAAAACTGTTACTTTGTCTGTAACTGTGCCTTTTACTAGCGGTATCCAGATCTTGATCGGAGTCCTTGTAATCTTTAGGATCTCCAATACTCGGAAAAATCAGACTATATTTACTTAAATGTTGATCAAATGTGTGTCTGACTTTTTCACAAGCATCTTCATTTGAATACTGGATGACCTGGTTCAAAGATTTTAAGAAGATATGAATGAAATTGGGACTCCTTAAATTGACATGATGTAATGCGCTAGAGATTGAATATAATGGTTCTATGATAATACTGTCTTAATACAGTATTTGAGCATGATTCTTCAGTAGTTGTACTTATTCAGAACACGTTTGAGATGATGTTACTCATCCTGCGCCTCCTTTGGCTATAAATACTTTGGTCCCCTGCCCAGGGAAAACCCAACGCCTGCATATTTATTGGAGTGATGGCAACCAACTCTCAGGAGGTGTTTTGGTAGCTAGTAGCTCCTTCAGTTGTCCTTCACAACAATTAATTATGTCCTGCTGAGTTTCTGATAAGCATTTACAAAGACAAACTAGAGTCATATGGCAATTAATTGCCAAGTGGTGCTTTCTATCCCAAGCTAATATGTAGCTAACAGCTACTACCTAGTGCAGGTAATAGTTTGCTATGCCTCACCCATCTTAGTGGCTGAAGTTAAAATTGTTGATAGCAGATTTTTTTCAGATATCGCTAGCTTACTAATCAAGCTAACTTTAGCTCCATGAGTTGGTTGCAAAGTTGGTTTTAAATTTTTCCAGAGGATTCGTTTTAAAACAAGAATCCTGCTAAACGGTCTTAAATATGGACTTGAAAGTGTGATACTATTCTAAAAGACTGAGGCGATGCTGCATGTCCCAATAAAAAATCAGCATCCTCACTGGTCAATGATCCATGCAGAAAAATTTGAAATAAAACAACACCTTATTTAGCTCCTTTGGTGTATGTACTTTGTATTTATTGTTGTTTGTATATTTTCACATTTCACGTTATTAAAGAAAAGGCTTTTGGCATGAGGACAAATCAATGTTTGTCAAATGTAACACTTTACCCTGTTGCCGTTGGAGTGCAAACCCCAAATCCAATAACATTACCCAAAACTCTGAAAGCATCTGGGACCAGCTTCCACAGAGTAGAATATAGCTCCTACTTTTTTGTATAGAGTACATAATTTATAGATTTTGTGGGATTAAGACCAACCACAGGTTTTCCTTACCCTATCTGCATGACTGTCCGCTCATGCAGTAACCAGCTGCTTTAACCAGTGGACCGGTAACTCAGTATCGTGCCCTGCCAAGAGCCCCAGAACACCTGAAGGTCCTGGGATTGTTGACCATAACACAGCCAGTGGGTCATGTGACAGTGCAGGTGGCTGCCAGCCTGGACTGTGCCCTGCTGCCAAACTCCACTGTGATCCAGAGAGTTAGAGGAACTGCTGGAGGGCCGGCTAATTCTTGTCAAGAGGAGGCCTGTCGCCCAGCCTGGAGCAGCCAAACTTACCCTCCTTCCAGCACATTTAACAAGCTAACATTCCTTCTGTGAACTTTTAGTCGTTTTTACAACTGTGCTCTTTGCGGGTTGACTTAAAGTTTTTTGACATTTTCAGCTGTCTGGTCCTGTTAAAGCTGCACTAAGCAGGAGTTTTAAGTAAAAATGCACTAATTTTATCGACTTAGAACATATCCCATCCCCCTTTAGATGCTCTGTTATTTGCCCAAGTGAAACTACAGTATTAAGAGGTCTTTTTCTTTTTGCTATCCTTTGGTATAAGGCTGTGTGCTGTTTGCTGATGACATGTTAACAGGACATCGGTGAAGGTCAATGTTTTCAGTTACCTCTTGCTGCCATATGGAATTGAAAATGTGCAAAATCCCCTAACATCCCGTTGAGTTTTCTTTTTGTAATTTTTTAAGTTATTGTGTTTGTGCCTGTGGTGGGAAAGTGAACCAAAAACGGGAAGGGAGAGCAAAGAGGCTGACACTCGTTAAAAATTACATCCTGGATAAAACAGAAAACACAACTGACTGTGAGAACCTCAACCTGCAGAGCCAGCATCCTTATTTTTACAATTTGATTAAATTATACAGTATTCACGTTAGCTGCTGACACCACAACCCTGCTCCAACAGTTTAAAATCTTTGGCAAGCCTCTGAAGGGAGAATCAATTAGGATTAATTGAAATATCTTAGACACAGAATTTTACTTAAATCATGACTAACTGTAGAGGAATACAGTATCTTATAGGTCGAGGGCGTGTGCCTGCCAGTTGCACATAAATCTTCAGCGCTGGTCTTTTTCTGTCAGTTCTGCCCTTGGAGATAAAACACCATATAATCTACTCTTCTACAGCATCCAGTTTTCTTCATCTTTTTCATTGGTTGAAACTCAAACCACATGCCAGAAAAGCCGCACACATCTGAAACCCAATTCTTCCGCACTTAAGTTTATTGATAGTCATGTAAACCTCATGCCACTCAATTTTAAGAGTGATCTCATTGCGGAAGTTCCACGAGTGCTCCGAAGCAGCTCGCCAGTGACTTTTAAGTGGCTTTTGTTCCTCTGCAGTGGAAGGCAGGCCAGCAAAAGACAGTGCAGGCTTTCATAAACGCCTGGCTCTGCTCCTGTAGGTCCTCCTTCAGCTCTAGGGTGGAAACATGGTGCCTGGTGTTTGGGCCCTGGGTGTAATTAACCCTGGAACTCATAAAGAGGCGTTCACAGTGGGGTGCATGGTGGGCCCAGTCCTCATGCCAGCTCCTGTTGGGCAGCTAAGATCCTGCACCAGATGTTTTCCGTTAGCATGTTTGCATGCCAGAGAATCCAAAGCCTGCTACACCTACTGTATACAGTATACAATGCTCCAGTGTGCTTTGGCTCCATCGAGAAAGTTCAGTACATAAGCTTGTTAGCATCACAGGGAAAGGTTCTCATGAAAGGGTGGGAGTATGTGAATAAACCAACAGGAAACATTTATTAGTCAACAGGTATGGTACAGCTACAAAAGAGCATACAACCAGCTGGTAGTGATTAATGTTTTGCTCACAGACACATTAAGCAGAGATTTTGGCTAGCAGCATGGCTCTCTGGATGGCAGTGTTGGTCGGCCGCACCGCCACTTCAATCTAAACTAAAATATCTCCAAAATTA